TAATATGTACTCATTGTACAAATTACTCATATGTACTCATTAATATGTACTTAATATGTATCATATTAAGTTATTTTTGTACTATGCTGAATGAATTTCTAAGCAGTATTTAAAGCAACATTACAGATAATATTAAAGGATCCATAAATTTAATTTTGGGAAGTCCTTGACTTTTTAAAAGAAGCTTTTCTACAAAGAATCTTTATTTTAAAGTGATAATTTTTCTATTGTCCTGGTATTTCCAATGATCAATACTCAAAGAAAACAAAATTTACATGTTCTTTAGACTGGTTCATATACTTAATATCACTAGAATATAAGTATATAGATAGGTAGGTAGGTAGGTAGTTTTTTTTTTTTTTTAACATTTAGGGTCCTCTCCCCTCTTTTTCTAACATCATTGAATGATAGTATATATTTTTCACTAATTGAAATACATGTTTTTGTTCTGTAAATATGGGTTCTTTCTGTTTTAAGAAGCCTTCAGCTGGGGGAAAAAAAGAAAAGAAAAGGAAGTGAATATTTAATTTATAAAGACTGATCACAATGCAAAAGAATTTGCCGTAAGACTGCCTTAATGCAATGAGTTTCTCTTGAAACTTAAGTTTATGTTATATATAATCTGGTAATATACTGGGGTTTTAGAAATTTAGAAATCACTGTTCTGCAAAGAATAGCAGTATAACTGTTCATAATTACTATATTTAAAACAAATAAAATATATTTGCAATTATCTTGTCTGCTTTTGGTAATACAATGTTAGTTTTAATTTTTATATGATTATTTAATTTTATTTATACAATTATACTTTCCAAGACCAGAAAATATAAATCATGACTAATGTTGTTTTCTTTTTTTAGCATCTCTGGAATGTGATTTTTAGATATTTGCCTCATCATCAAGCCAAAAAACATTTTTTAAGTAATATCTTACACTAAAATGTGTAAGACAAATACTTGTGCTTTTCAAAAAATTCTGATTTTTTCAAGGGAGTATAAGTTATATAGAAAATAATAAAACACATAATTGCAATTACTATTTCACCAAAAAATAAAAATGCATGTAATGAAAATGAGCTTACATTTACAAGCTCAAATATCTATTAAATTAGTGAAGTTCCTCAAATTTTCTATGAAAGTTAAGGAAGTAAAAGATATGGATAGGTTTTTTATAAATCCCTTGCTGTACCACTATAATTTGTCTTTCTACTTTTGAAAAATTATTGATATTAATAACTTTTAAAAATACACAAATTTAATCACTGTGATCATTGTATTTCTAGCATAGTTACTAAAATATTAGAGAGTATCTTATATTTGAAGATAAGAACTAATTACTTTGAGGTGAGCTGGCAGATACTATATTCATGTCTTCTGTAATTAGAGCGCCAATTTCAGTGGTGCTTAAAATTGTTATATCTTAAAATTCCAGAAATTTGGATATTTTGTTCTCTGTTATATATTAATTCCACATTTTTTGTGCTCAGAATTTAAAAGTTATATTTAAAGCAATCTTACAGTAAATATTTAATCTACTTTAAAATTATAGATGCTGTATGTTCTATATTTTCACATGCCCAATACACTTGAAATAGAAATCCAAAACCATACAATTAAACAACTTTGAAGAATTAAATCTTAACCAGTATGTATTATTAATGCTAGATCCTTTAATAAAAAAAAAATAAGGTAAGAAGTTTTACTTACTTCTACTTATTCAACTAAAAGACTTATTTTCCTCCTTCAACCAATTTACTGAAGAACAATCCTTTGTTACATTAACATTAATAATTATACTTCTCATTTATTTATCACTTCACAAAGAGTACAGACTACCCTTGGACATAATAAATTTTTCAGCCAGTTATACCTGATATAGACAAGTTATACACTGAAAACACATATAAGTTATAGCAAACTTATTCTACACAATGTTGCAGATTTGCAAAAGATATTTTAAATACCAGATGTCTCTCATCTTTTACAATGGTTCTACATACTAAAATTTGATTTCAAATAAATTTTCAGGAACTTTGGATTTGTATTTTCCTCAAATATGTACAATCATGTATGTTTCTCTGGGACCAGGCTTCATAAAACATGGACTTAAAATTCTTTAATAATAAACAATATGATTGAAATCTAATATTGAAAAAGCTGGAAAAGTAGACATTAGTTTCTAAATTGATTTGGCAATATAACATCAATTGATTAGTTAGGGATTGAAATCTACTAAAATATTAATAGAGACATAGATGGCTACTAAAGATGTCAGGTCTTAAAATTGAATAACTTAATAATCATTTTATTTTATATCCATACTCATCCATATTAATCATTCATTCATTACTATATCCTGACTAAAAAAGTTTTGACTTCTATATTAACTGAAATTTTCACATAAATCTGTTTGATTTCATGTAAGAGATTAATCATCATCTTAGCTAAAAGCATATGTAAAATTTTAAATCATGAATTTATATATACTACTTTTGAAGAAAACTGAGCCTATATTTTAAATATTTATTTTCTAAATAATTGAATGGATAGGAATACTTGGGTCTTAAAGACATATATTTCACATCCAAATACCATTTTACATAATTAGTGAACTTCTAGGCAAAACAGTCTTTTGGATACAATTTTCTTCTATATGATCTTTGTTCACTGAGACAACTAGGCAACAGGTTGCATATGGCATTATTTTAGAGGATAGCCCAGTGGACTTGGAACATTCCATGTCATGGCAGAGCAATCTCATGATCTAGGGACCAGCATTAGTATACTACTGCTGCCTATGCTGAGATAATGTGGAGTTACATGGAGAAAGTCCAAACTTTCGAATATTCCTCATTTTTAAATTTGCTCAGACCACAGATTAAAATGTCTAAATGAAAAAAAAAAAATCCAAAAAACAAACAAACAAAAAAACCTGAGGACCAGCTATTAACTGTCCAAATTAAATAGTCTCCAAAACCTGTCTGGTCTTCAACTTGGGAGACTAGAAACTTTGGAGGAGCTGAGATCTGGAGGGTACCAGCACTGAGTGACACTTGGGTTTCTGTAAAGGACTCCTCAGTATCACTGAAGTTTATGATTTCCCGTACTCTGTCGAGATACTCCTGAGGCTATCAGGAAATCCAAAGTGATTTGGAGCATGCCTGGATTTCTTCAAAGATTATCTTTGCAAATTAAGTATAACTGCCTTCCTGGGGATATCAACTGACCAAGAGCTGTCATGTAAAGGAAGGGAGAGAGAGAACACTATCGGCACAACCCAGTGTCGATGTACCAAAAAGCCAACATTGATGTTATATGGACAACCTTTTGGCCCTTCCATTGACAGTCACAGTTTAAGTCTTACCCTGTTCACTGTTACTGACCAAAGCAAAGGAACAATTTACAGGCACAGTTACAGAGCACAATAGCAAAAGAGTCCATTCTTACAAAGTGCAAACCTACAAGGGTAATGACCACACTCTGCCTGCTGAAACTCCATCTACTTGTCCTCCACCACTGCAATTGGTTTCTCTATGAAACATTCCCTGGTCCCCATCCCCTACCTCCACATTAGGTGTTATCCCTACATTAAACTGTGTGCTTAATCAAATTAGCACCTGTACCAAAAACTACTATGTATTTACATTTTTATTTCAAACACTAGAAATGTAAAGTTTCTGTAAACAGGATCTACGATTATTTTATTTTTTATGTCCCTAGGATTGAGCTCAGTGTTTAGCACATGGTAAGTGCTTAGTAAACATTGGCTGAGTTGAAGCTGAATGAGGATACCACAACATCAGGTACATCTCCCACATTAATGATTTGGAGGTGGAGAGATGAGATTCCTTAAACAAAACAAAACAAAACAAAAAACAAAACAAAAAACACCCAGACTTCGTTGTTCTTTAAAAAAAAAAAAAAGAAAGAAAAAAAAAAGATGAACCTCAGGAAGTGAAATACCATTGACAGTCTCCTCAATGCTGGAATGAATGCAGTATTAAAACATCAGGAAACATCAGTGACCTTGCCATCACTGAGTAAATAACATCTTTGTAGGTCTATGCAAGGAGACCTATACCATTTTTTATCATGATAATATTTTACTTCCATAAACACTTATAACCCAGGAAGCTGGTTTAGGAAAAAAAAAGTTTAAATGTCTATATATTTCTGGGACTCCTTATTCTATGTTAAACTTATTTGCAGCTCTCAAATGATTACATTATTTATTTTCTGGGACTCCTTATTCTATGTTAAACTTATTTGCAGCTTTCATATGATTACATTATTTATTCCCTTTAGTACATGATTACAAAGTATTTAGAAATTGTTTTAATGACTTAGAATAAAAGGAAAGTTCAATTTTAAAAAAGTACTACCCAAAGATTTATGGTTAAATTAAAAAAACATATTTACTTCACTTAAGATATAAAGGGTTCTCTACATATACAACACTAATAAGGTTTTTCATGAAAGTAACAAGCCTATGAAAACACTGAAATCTTGCAAACTCTCCTTTAACTTATGGAAGACATAAAATACTAATTTACTAACTGCCGCTCTAAATTTTACTGTATTTTTCTAAAACATCCTTGAAACAATAGGGGAACATCTTGGGGTGAGGGCTGGAATACGTATTTTGGATATATTTTATAGACAAAAGATGTGATCAAGGCAATCATAATCAGAGAATAAAGCAGACAGACTTGAATTTTTATCACAATTGCACATGGAATAAAGGTTGAGTAAGGAGTCAGAAGGTAAAGTGCTGCATATACAAAGCACAAAATACAGTCTAATAAATACTTCACATGCTTAGGTGATTTCAACTTAGTTCTTACATGCAACTTTGTGAAAGGCTAATGTATAAAGTATATGTTAAATGATTTCTTTCCCCTAAGACAAAACTATTCAAAAACTTTAAAATCTCTTAATCACTACACATTTTTACAATGCCAGAGAAGAAGAAAAAGAGAAATTATTAATTTTTAAAATTACCCAGCAATTCCATTGCATCATCTTCATTATCAATATCTTCTTCTGTTACAGATGGGGTAGGGCTGTGGAGAGACTCAAAAGAATCTTGAGAGAGCATTGCTGCCAGAAGTTTCTTATGTTGCTGTTGCTGCTGTTTTAATCCTTTAGTCTTGGGCTCCACCTTTAAGCTGAAGAAATATTTAAATGTTAGTTTTCAATGATGACAACTCTATTAATTAGCTCTGATAAATAAAATAATCTACAACCAAATTTTCATTTGATTAATTTCACTATGTGAAATTATAGTCATATTAGTAATATCTTCCCTAAGGATAAGGGAAATACAGACGGTCTTCTTTCCTAGACATCCTCTGGTACCTCATTAACTATCTCACAAGTGAATATAGGTAAGAAATATGGCAAACTGAAACTCTACCCCACTTAAGGGAGGAGGTGCTAATCAGCTCCTACCAATTGTCACCAAGTCATAATGAAAGCCCACTGTTAAAGAATTTTTCTGATTTTTTTAAAGAGGAGGCAGAAAATCCAGATTTTTATATGAAATTCCTTGACATACAAACAAATGTAATGGGATAACTATTTTAACATACTATGACAAGATTATTTTTTCAAAAGTTTATTTATTTGAGAGAAAGAGAGAGAGACAGAACACAAGCAGGGTGGAGGGGCAGAGGGAGAAAGAGAAGCAGACTTCCTGCTTAGCAGGGAGCCAAATGTCGGGGTTTATCCCAGAACACCAAGATCATGACTTGAGTCAGAGGCAGACACTTAACCAACTGAGCCACCCAGGCACCACAGACAAGATTATTTTAAATGAAAACTTTAATTTCTTTTTTTTTTAAGATTTATTTATTTATATGAGAGAGAGAGAGAGAGAGCGCGAGTAGGGGGAGAGGCAGAGAGAGAAGCCTCAAGCACATTCCCAGCTGAGCACGGAGCATGACACGGGGCTCCGTCCAGGACTCAAAGATCATGACCTGAGCTGAAATCAAGAGCCTGCCATTTAACAACTGAGCCACCCACACAACAAAAAATTTTAATTTCTATGATTAAAGTAAATTTCCTCATTGTCCTATCATGCTGCCTAGATCTTGGGGTAGGATGAGGTAAAAGAAAGGATGGATCCAGAACTGGCAATTAAACGGTTTTCAGTTTCTTCCAGTCTAGAGAGTCCTTGCAAATTTGGAAGAGTTTCTTTGTGATAAAGCTGGGATCCTTTGGGTAAATGTTGCCTTTCATGGTTCCCTCTCCTCCAACTTCTCAAGACAGTGTTTAACCGGACAACTTACAAGTCCAAATAACAAACACATAGAGTTCCAAAAACTGTCCCTAAGTTCTTCTCTTCTCTGTAATTCAATTTCTTTTCCTGTTATTGTCCAAAGAAAGGAAATGTCAAATGTCACCCCATAAGAGAAAAACACATGATATGTAGAGGAAGTCTTCCCCAAGCAGGATGGAAAGATAACACTTTCTAAAGGTAAAGACCATAAGGCAAATAGGTTAAATGCATTGCCCCCACTACCTCCAGGCCAAAATGCTGAGGAAGCTTGACAAAAAACAAAAATAAAGAACTAACCAGATAAATTTCAGGGCACAGATCAGAACATTTCAAGCTGTCTTAATAGAAGTACCAGGTTCAACACTGTCGAAGTAGAGAATGGAAAGAGCAAAATGACATTGCATGTCACCAGTGGGCAAAGATCAATCAGCCCACCTCCCTGGTTCACCTCCAAATTAGGGTGACTATGTTAGAGAAGGTCAGGGGAAATAGAGATGGAGAAAAAGCTTTTATTTTTCCACACTAATGCTGGTTAATAAATGTAGAAGAAATGACAGATTCAGAAAACCACCATTTTGCAACCACCAACATAGTTTAACTCTTCAGGCTAGAATCATCAATGGATACTAACGTTTGTTGCTGAAAGATTGTTGGAGGAGGTTGATTGTCAAAATCTCAAGGTGTTTTCAACAGTTCACTAACGTTTTTAATTAATTTTTTTTTGGCTTTGAAGTAATTACAGATTTACATGTAGTTCTAAGAAATGATAGAGATCCTATGCACTCTTTCTTTACACTGTTTCCATCAATAACATTATCTTATAAAACTAGAGTACAATATTATAACCAGGATCCTGACAATGGTATGATTTTCCAATCTCATTCAGATTTCTCATTTTAACTGTACTCATTTGTATATGTATGCCTGTGTGTATTTAGTTCTAGATAACTTTAGTACTTGTTTAGGTTTGTGTATCATATACCGACCATCAGAATCAAGATACAGACCATTTCAAACACCACGAGACTCTTCTAACCACTCCTGCTTTCCTCTGTATGCCTTCTTCCCTGTCTCTAATCCTTGGCAACCACTAGTCCGTTCTCCATTCTTTTAATTTTATCATTTCAAGAATAATATAGGAGCACCTTGGTAATTCAGTCGTTAAGCGTCTGCCTTCGGCTCAGGTCATGGTCCCAGGATCATGGGATCGAGCCCCACATCAGGCTCCCTGCTCAGTGGGAAGCCTGCTACTCCCTCTCCCACTGCCTCTGCTTATGTTCTCTCTCTTGCTGTGTCTCTCTCCATCAAATAAATAAGTAAAATCTTAAAAATAAGAATATTATATACATATAAATGGGGTCATACAAGTTTAAGACTGGCTTTTTTCAGGCAATTTAAATCCTTGGAGATTCATTCATGCTGTTACATGGATCAATAGTCCCTTCCTTTTCGTTCCTATGTAGTATCCCATGGCACGGATATACTTCAGTTTATCTAACCATTCAAATTTAAAGGACTCTTGGATTAAGGTTTTTGGCTATTAGGATGGACTTGCTATGAACATTTATATACATGCTTTTGAGTGAACTAAGTTTTCATTTATTTGAGAAAAGTGCCCAAGAGTACAACTGTTGGGCCATGTGGTATTTGCATGGCTAGTTTTATATAAAAATCCCAGACTGCGTCCCAGAGTGACTATGACAATTACAGTCCTGTAAGGGTCATCAGTTGAACATGAAGATTGAGGAGAAGTACTGGAGGTTTGTGGAGACAAGAAAAGGCATGCAATCATCATTAAGGAGCATGGACATGTGAACAAACTAGGTGAATGCAGAGTGTCTTCAGTCAGGACCAATGACTTCTTGGTGGTCATGAATTCACAATGATACCAGTCAGTGTAGCCAAATGTTCTCCACAGGAAGAAATCTATGCCAGTTCAGTCACAGAACAGACAAAGAGTTAGATTTAAGTAAGGTAGTTTTACCACACAAGGAAAACAAAGGACAAAAGAGGTAAGGGAACCAGGATATATTCAATAAGTAGATCAAAATAATGAGCCAAAAATAAAAACTCCCACAACTCCCTTCTCCTGAGGGAAATTGGAAGGGGAGGTGAACCATGAGAGACTATGGACTCTGAAAAAAAACCTGAGGGTTTCGAAGGGGCGGGGCGGTCGGAGGTTGGGGGAACCAGGTGGTGGGTATTAGGAAGGGCACAGATTGCATGGAGCACTGGGTGTGGTGCAAAAACAATGAATACTGTTACGCTGAAAAGAAATAAAAAATTTAAAAAGAAAAAATAAATAAAATAAAAGAACAAACTATTTGTGACAGCAAAAAAAAAAAAAAAAAATAAAAACTACATGAGTGGCAAGAAAAACTGAGTAGAACCAGTGTATTTGGGTCCTAGTTAAAGCTGGGTACCAGAGGGAATGAACTAGAAAGACAGAAGGTGTAGTCAAAGAGTGAAATACATAGAAATTGACACTAGAGTTTGCAGTTAATAATAATGAGGCCTAGATATAACAGAGGGAATAGGTGAAGTAGGGTGGAATTCAAGATCAGTAGTGAAGAGTAGGCAAAGGAAGAAGATGCTAGGTGGGGGGAAGAATCATTAATGTGGTTATTAACTTCATCAAGATAGGAAGGGTGCAGGGAAAAGTGACAGTTGAGCCAGATGCTTGCATATTTAGGAAAAAGGGAATGACCTGGGAATTGACAAATTATTGCTACAAGAAGTAGTGGAAGACAGCCATGGATAAAACACGAAATTCACAACAAGATACTTTTTTAGGGGGAAAGGAGACAGTAAGGTCTACAAGCAGGAAAGGGGAGCAAGGACACCTTCCTCTATTCCAGCTCCATAACCTATAGATTGTAGAAGTGAAAACTACAGCATTAGAGAGAAAATAGCACCTGCCTCAGGGAAGCAAGGCTCTTACTGCAGACAAGTGGTGAGTGGGATGGGGAGAGGTTAGGTGCCTTATGAGAAAGAAAAGCAGTTAATACTTCAATGTAGTAATTATACAATCTAGGGCGTCATTTTACTTTGGTTCAAAAAGATAAATTCTAAACCAGATCAGATGGAAAAGGATGGTTTAATGTGGCCACTCCTCTCCCTCAGCTTCTCTCTCCAGGTAGCACCTTCCTCCCCCTCCTGATGGCCTACATTCTGACCATTGCTTCTCTCCTCTTGACCCCACTCTTCCCTGGATATCTGGCCCTGCTGTATTTTGTTTCACATTCTTGTTTCTGAATATAGGTTGGTAAGTATTAGTTTTATCTGATCCCAGGTGCATTATTTGGTGGAAAGCTGGATTTCTCCTCTCTTAACCCATCTCCTATGCTTGTTTAGTTCACCACTGCAGCCTAGCAGGTAGAATCTGTGCCCTTCCTCTCAACTGTACTTGGAAATTAAAGGACTCTCCTTGCAGTAAGGCCCAGGTTGTTGAAGGGAGAGCGTAAAGAGTTTCTTTGAATCTAGGATGTTCTTTTTCATACTGGTCTCAGCCAGTATCTAGCACAAATTCACTTTTTCTTTCTGAACCCCATTTTTTAAACACACTAAATAAAGTAAGAATTAATTTAAGAATATGTATATGAGTCTTCAAACTTGACAGATATGAAAATTGAGGGAAAATATATTAGTAGTGAAAAAGAAAAAGGGAAACTATGTAGATTGGAATATTGAAGATAGGAAGAAATGGTATATTATAGATGCATAACTCCTATTCAAAAGCCAACAATGAGCAAGATAATTTCATAAAGGTTGCAGTAATTGTTTCCCTGAATCTCATTAAAATACATGATTTGGTCATGAAGATAGTGTTAGGCCATGAGTCCTAGACAGTAAGTTCAAAATGTTGCTGGTCTCATAAGAAACCACCTATGAATCTGTAAGTCTATAGGTAACTAGCAATGTTTTCATAAAATAACTTGAATTAGGATATGTATTTTCTAAAGAAATAAATGAATAAATGAGAAAGAACAAATTTTGAACATATCAAAATGACCTCATCAACCTTCTGAAATAAACGCATGATTTAGTTACATACTTTTTGGCTTTAAAAAAGAAATGTGTGAATCATAAGGTACATTCTTTGCATGTTTTAGATATTTTTAAGGCCTCTGTTTTTTTTATTCCTTTGACAGATTAATTTTTGATTAATCAATTTTCTCTCTCCTTAAAATTTACAAGTTAGGACATCCCTAAAATACTAAGCTTAATTCAGTCTCTGAAATGTATTACATATTTTCTATCATGTCCACAATAGCCAAAATCTGAGAATATTAAGGTTCTTTGTTTGTGGACTTCTTACATAAAATAGTGCCCTTTATTAATTTTCTTCCTTTTTTTTCTGGTTTATTTTCCATCTTGCCACTAATCACTACTTGAATTTATGGTATATATTTGCATATTTACTTGTTTATTATTTGTCTCTTCCTGCCAATTGAGGAAGCTCTAAAAAAGGGGAACATTTCTAGGCTCTGTTAACAGATACATGAGAAGCAATTAGGAGCTTTAATGAAAAGAAACACTGCTTAGTGGAAAGTGAATTTAACTTTTATTTTAATATTTAATACATATTTCTAAATTATAAGATTTTCTACTTGTGTTATGGCGTATTTACCACCTAATAACAATGCTCACTGAACAAATAAAGCCAATTCACCAGATCTATAATATTTATTGATATTATTCTTGCTTTAATAAAGTAGTTAAGCTCAGAGGAGCTTCATCAGGCTTTCAAGGCTTGATAAGCCTATTTACAAATTCACATTAGAATTTAGCTAGTAATTTTAGGAAATCCATTACCCAGCTTTGGAAACTTTAATTAAGATGGCTTAAAATAGAAAAATATGGCTTCAAATAGAATTATATAGATATATTACACTCATTTTTTATTTACATTTACATTGTCAATGTATGATTATTTTTAATATCTCTAAATGTGCAATAAACACATAGATTTCCCATTCCCACTAAATGACTAGATAAGCCATTGCAATTCATGCCAATTGGTAGTATTAGAAAGCCTTCAATCATTCCCCAATGTATTTATCTCTCTCTTTTATAAATCCCCATTCTTTTTCTTGCTTAGATCCTTTAATTTCTTTCTTAAACTTACTTAAAAGAACCTTATGAAAAATCTAAGAATGTGTTGGGGAAATGCCCATGTGCACAGAACCTTGTCCACATAATTTAATTTCAAGAGATCCACAGATCTCTTGGGTCCAACCAGAGACTACAGAGTGGTCAGGGACCCCATGTCAATCACTCTTGTCATATCGTATTAGTTTCTCCATATTGCCCTCATAACTGCTTTCTTTTTTTTATATATATTTTTATTTATTTATTTGAGAGAGACACAGTGAGAGAGAGCATGAGAGAGGAGAAGGTCAGAGAGAGAAGCAGACTCCCCGTGGAGCTGGGAGCCCGATGCGGGACTCAATCCCGGGACTCCAGGGTCATGACCTGAGCCGAAGGCAGTCGTCCAACCAACTGAGCCACCCAGGCGTCCCTCATAACTGCTTTCTTTTTAACCAGCACTTAACCCTTCAGGTGACAGCTTTGTGTTCTAAAGTTGCTGACCCTCTTTATAGAATGTTCCATATGCAGGACCTAAGGAGAAAAGTTGGCTCTGTACTAAAGATGGAGTGTTGTTAATAAAAGCCATTCAAATAAGACTCGAGCATTTAACAACATTGTGACAGGAAAGGGCAAAAAGTTAGGATAGACTATAAACAACCCTTCTTATAAATAAGCTTTATTTAGCAGATGTCTACTCACAGCCTTCTATGTACCTCCTTCACTCATGTAACAGATGTCTATTGGTAATGACAATGTTCCAGGCCCAGTAGGGGAGAGAAAAATGGAAGAAGTCACCTTGAAAATTAATTCTCCTGAAGCCTGGAATATCACTTAGGCTGTTAATGTTTAAGACTGTTATACTACAAGTTCATTACTATTTAAAGGCAAAAGATAATGCTCGAGTTATAACCTCTAAAGTCATTAAAAAATTTATCCCAATCCATTTTTATTCATCCAAATCAAATCTATTGCTATGTGAGTTCCTGATATAAATTCGGAATCCTGTTTGGTATTAGAAGATGGGAGAGATACAGTTTCTAACCCACAGTTTATTGCTACTCTTTAAACTAAGTTCAAGTATGCACACATTCTTTCTGTTTTGATGGGGTATCAGGGTGGGATTTCACCTGTCTTCATTTCATAGAGAATACCTCAATTCATGATTTAAAGATAGAGAACAGTAACACTAAGAAAAATTTTTCATAACAAATACGTGAGAGAGATCTTCATAGGTTGAGTTTTCTGGGAAAGGGATTTGACTTACACTGAAGGAAATATTCCCCTTTATTGGGTATTCAGGAGGGAATCAGAGATCACTGAAGCCAGGAAGAAAATAGAAGCACTAACATTTGCAATAAATAGCTCCGATTATTATTATGACTAAATGAAAGCAAAATGAAAGTTGACATTTCTCTACTTTACATTAAAGATCTGGCAATGACTAAAGATAAAGGTCTAGTGGGTTTCATAAGTCTGGTATTAAAAATAAAATTACCCTCATTGACAGGTGAAATTGATCTGGCATTTCACAAAAGAAGGTAAATGGATTTTTTAAAATGGTTTTCTTCTCCTTACCCAGGACACTTCAACTATTTAAATAATTTAAAAGTTATTTCTCATGGAAATAGAATCAATTTTCTATATGCCTGAAGCACATTAATGAGTATTCTGAATTTCCTTCCTTCTAGTCAAGTGATAAGTCAAAGTAAAAAAACCCCTGAAAGCTATTACACTGTAGAAAATACAATTTTCTCCTTGAGAAAGAATAGTTATTGGTTGCTGCTAAATTTAATGTAGGAAATACAAAGTTACTGTGGCTATGCTATGCATAGGAAAAACTTTTCTGTGGTGGTCAGCTAGTAGCACCCAACGAAAGTTGTGGCGTTCTCACATTCAATTCACGAGCATTTAAATCTATTTTCTCAGGCTTGTGTAAGCCATGCTTCCAGATGCTTTTTCACTCCAACTTCTTGTGGAAGTTTTCATTTTGGGATTTTACTCACTGCAGGTGGTATTACAAAACAAGAAAAAGGTTGTCCTGAATATACTTTTTTCTAATAAATATGATCTGGACATTTCAAAACTGCTTCACTTCTATCAACATCTCCTACCACTGTTTTGAGCATCATAAGACTGAGTAAGTGAAATGTGGGCTTTCAAATTCACAAATCATAATTAAATATAGAATATGAAAAGAATAATGTTCAATCATAGTTACCAACTCTAAATGTAAATGGTTCTAAACCAAGGTTTTCTCTCATATTCTCCACTAACTCTGCTTCATGTAGTCTAAAATACATTTAATAGTTTTCTTCTTGTTGATCAGCTACATCTCTCTGGTAAATGAGAAGCCCTTCATCTCCAATTCTTAACAATCAGCCACTCCCTGCCCATCATTATAGTGGGTCTTGAGTGACAGCCTAAGTCTTTGAAATTATTTCTCTATTTGGTTTTAGTAGCAAAGAGATGGTGATTTTCTTAGATAAAAAGAAAAAAATTAAGACCAAAATCTAAAAGCAAATCTGCAAAATTTTAATTTTAAAACAGAGAAATTAATTTTCAACTTATGTGGAACCCAACATAATTTCCTATATAAAATTGTTAAGTTCTTTCTTCAAAATCACATGCTTGGATTTATGTCCCCATTTGCTTTTAACAACCAACAATACTCAGAATCTAAGAAGGCATTTCATCTCACCTTCCTGCAGGGCTAGAGCTATTATCTTCATTTTCCCACTGTTCATTTTTACTTCTTGGAACTGGGGGCTGGAGCATTTCAGCAGCCAGTGGGTCAGCATCATTCTCTTCTCGACCAATCCATTCTCCAATCACACGGGGTCTCAGAAGAGAAGAATTAAATGACACTGTTTCCTGAGAAGGAGAAAAGAATGTACTTGACTCAGATGACTTATTCTTATTAATGGGACAACACGGAAATAATTTTGTCTAGAGTTCTGACTGCCTCTGCAAATCAAAATTTTCCTTTTTTCTTTCTGAATTGACTCAAAATGTGAGGTCTCTCCATTTCTATTAGGTGACTTACTCTATGTAATTTGTGCTGACTCCTGAAGGTCACTGTGACAAAGGATCCAGGAGTGAAATCTTAGATTTGGATTTGGAAGGCTGCGTGTGTGTTCTCAGGAAGGAGGAGCTGAGACTAGCATTTGTGACAGAAGGAAAAGTGTGTGGTAAGGCTCTCATACTGAAAGAGCTCAGAGTTGCTGGGAAATTGAAATAATTTCTTAGGAGGAAACTGGTGTGAGGTCAGGGAATAAAGTCAAGAAACGATGGTGGAAGGATGGATTGCCTCTGATTGTGGAACAGTCTGAACTTGTAGGGATCCAGTAGAGATTGGAAGCAGGGCAGTATCAATGACAGGCATGGTGTGCTAATTCAAAAAATGTTAAAGTGACCTCTTTTCATAGATTTTCATATGATGTGGGTCTTAAAATCATACTTAAACTACTTAAATCATTTAATAATTTGAAAGGTACTAGAATACTGAATTGTGTAATTGCTAGAGATATCTCAGTAAGCGGGAAAAAAGGTTAAAAGCAATGTCTACTCTATGATCTTAGTTTTGTTTTAAAAATTCATAGGGGGGGGGTGGCTGGGTGGTTCAGTGGGTTAAAGCCTCTGCCTTCAGCTCAGGTCATGATCCCAGAGTCCTGGGATCGAGCCCCACCTTGGGCTCTCTGCTCAGTGGGGAGCCTGCTTCCCCTCCTCTCTCTCTGCCTGCCTCTCTGCCTACTTGTGATCTCTCTCAAATAAATAAATAAAATTTTTTTTAATTAAAAAAAATAAAAATTCATATGGGTGTATATCAATATTTTGTGCTAGTGTCAGCCTCTCAATAAGCAATGTTGTGGTTCTCATGATTGCAAGATGCCCTTCAGCAATAGCCATCAGGAGACTTTGAAAAATTAAAAGTTTATTGTTTAGGGACACCAGGGTGGCTCAGTTGGTTAAACAACTGCCTTTGGCTAAGGTCATGATCCCAGAGTCCTGGGATCGAGTCCTGCATTGGGCTCCCAGCTCCACAGGGAGTCTGCTTCTCCCTCTGACTTTCTCCACTCTCATGCTATCACTCTCTCTCTCTCAAATAAATAAATAAAATCTTCTAAAAAAAAAGGTTTATTGTTTATAAGACCTAAAGTATGCAGCACATCTGGGGGTAACACAGTGAAATCACAGGTAGAGAGAGAGTGAAAGAGAGAGCACTAGCAATCACAATGCTGGGGTTCTGCTTTTATTGGAGTTGAGGGTGGAAGCCTAGGGTTTAGTGGGCTCACTCTTTAAAATTTAAAAAATAAGTCAATTTTTAAAATGGTCAGTTTAAAAAATAAGATTGGGAATTAAAAGCTTGGGGAGAGAAAAAACAAGTGGCCCAAATCGTCAGTAATTGAAATCAAACAAGATCTCTAAAACAAAAAAGCTTCAGCCATGGGAGGTGGCTGGGACCTTTATCTAGTCTACTGTGGCTAACAGTATGTTTATTGGAAATAGCCATCTTTGAAGTAGACACTTCGACAATCAAGGCTTAAGTGGGGGCACTCAGATTACAAAAAGGAAAAAGACAAAACCAATTATTAGAGTTTAACTACACTAATTACTCATTTATTAATTTTCTCATATTTATTAAGACCCACTGTGTGGCAGATACTGCTTTATTTGTTGGGAAAAACAACAGTAAAACCATAATTTGGTGGTTTTACCTGAACAGAGACTATAGGTAGTTTTAGTTTCTTCTTTTTGTGTTTCTATGTCTCTGGAAACTTATGATAAATATATACTTGTCTTATAATAAGAAAAAATGCATTTTAAAAATAACCTGATGTGAGACACATAGGCTTGACTTAAATTATGTTTCCTTATAGTTTTTAGTATTATGAGAGTTCTGAATAATTTCTTAAAAATTCAGACCTGGTCTTCTGAGTCTTTACAATTCTCCAAAATATTATATAAATACAACACAATGCATATATGGCATAACAATAAGTACAATATAATATTAATTAGTATACAAATATAATACCAAAGGCAACATGTGAAATATGATTAGGATATATTTGATGAATTTATCCAAGTGATAACAAGGGACAGAAAATAGTTGGATATCTTAATACTGACTTCCTAGCCCACATGAAAATGTACCAGATACATTTTGGTAATTGGTGCTTGTATAACAGCAAATAATCTGAATTCTTTCTGTATTTATGTCCCCATAGTCAGGAAATCAAAGCACTATAACGGTTTTCTGCTGTGAAATCATGCAATCAAATTATTGTCTTGGGGCGCCTGGGTGGCTCAGTGGGTTAGAGCCTCTGCCTTCAGCTCAGGTCATGATCCCACAGTCCTGGGATCGAGCCCCGCGTAGGGCTCTCTGCTCAGCAGGGAGCCTGCTTCCTCCTCTCTCTCTGCCTGCCTCTCTGCCTACTTGTGATCTCCGTCTGTCAAGTGAATAAATGAAATCTTTAAAAAAAAAAAATTATTGTCCTGAAATTACTGGAAAGACACATTCACCTATCACAATTTAATATCATTTGAAGTATAACAATTAAAATTAACAGCAATAGTGTTAGATTTTAAACCTGTATTTGTTTTTAAAAGCAAACTGAAATAAAGGCATGTTTTAGAATTTTAAAAAATTATAAACATATTTATAGCCTCAGGATTAATTTTGGCCTGCATCTGAAGTGTTACTTATTTTGTGAATTTCACTTTCTCCAAATGTAAAACAGTGATGATGGGAATTATAAACCTACTGTATCAAATGAGTTCATAGGCAGCACAGTTAAACCACAGAATTCTGTACATTTGCTAGATACAATTATTTAAGGATGTGGACTATATCAAAACCACTTCTACATGTGTGATATATCTGGGGGGAAAATGGTAAACAGAAGTGTAAGAATGGGCAAATTGGGTAAAAATAAATCCTTGGTTGTCGATATGGGCAGAGTAACAAAACAGAGACTTGATGGGACAAATTTTCAACCTCTGAAGTTTTATTTTATAGATAGAATATTTAAAAAGTTGGATTATTAGTTCAATTTATTAATCTCATTTATGTAATAAAGCAGCATTTGGCTTGGAGATTTGTCCTATTATAGACTCAACAGATAAGAATGAGGACAAAAAGACTGACCACTGTAACAACAGGAAGGAGTGGGTTTGGACACTGTAAATGAAAAATGCGAAATCGAATTTAGAGTTGAGTATGATCAAAAGTTGTGAGCTGAAGAGAATCAGAAATAACTCCCTTGTTGTTTACTGGGAAATTAAATAAAATGATAGATGCCACTGCTGTTGGAAAGTGGAGCACGGAGAGGATAAATCGTTTAATATGCAGCCCGTTTAACACTAGCTGTCAGCAGAAATTTCAGTGAGAAATAGCTGATGAACAAAACAATACACAGAACTGCAAACAGGGTCAAAGGAGTTAGGAAATGAGTATTTTACAGGTCAAAAAATGGGACCCAACTTTTTCTATTTTTCAGAATGATTAAAGCTATCTATGCCTTTTTGAAATGTTATAGCTACAGAAATTACTGAATATAATCTAATTACCTGAAATAGATTAAAATAGCAAATATTTCCTTGGATATATTGCTTACATTTGATTAAGCCAAGTAAACATGAATTTTTATGAAAGGATTTCAATGAAGAAAGCAGTTCTTAACACTATATACAATGTGTCACAAATGTCAGTACATAGCAAAAGAAATTTTAAAATGCCCATCAAAAGCAAGGAAAATATCTCTTGAAAATATTCTAAGTACGTGGTAAACAAATAATTTAAAGTGTCAATGCTAAACATGTAAATCCTAATTATTCTTTAAAAATATATAAACACATTCCTTTGCCTTCTTAAGGCTAGAGTCTCTAGAGGTTGAGATTCTTAAGCAAATATGCTTAAATTTAATAAGAATAGCATTTCTGGTCAAAAATTCAACCAAAGATCACAGATTAGCTTAGTATTTTTGATCAGCAGAAAGCTATCCTATTAAAAGCAGTTATAGTAAACAGGCCTACTCTCTCCAAGCAGCCTACTCCTACTCTCCTACTGGCTAATTCACAGTGAATTCAACTGCTCTGACCACCTTATCACATTTGATTATATTCTGCCTTTTTTTTTTTT